TTGATCCACGTGGCTTCCTCTGGTTCTGGTTTAGTTTGGTTTGGGTTTTTCCCCTCCTCCGTTTCTACAGCTGGAAGACAAAGACTTCAAAGCTTGTGTACATCCCTCATGTCCCCTTGGGCTGGGGAGTGACCCTGGGATCGTCCCCTGGGATCATCCCCTGGGATCATCCCCTGGGATCATTCCTGGGATCATCCCCTGGGATCATCCCCTGGGATCATTCCTGGGATCATCCCCTGGGATCATCCCCTGGGATCATTCCCTGGGATCATCCCCTGGGATCATTCCCTGGGATCATTCCCTGGGATCATTCCTGGGATCATCCCCTGGGAGCATCCCCTGGGATCATCCCTGGGATCATCCCCTGGGATCATCCCCGGGATCATTCCTGGGATCATTCCTTGGGATCATCCCCTGGGATCATCCCCTAGGATCATTCCCTGGGATCATTCCCTGGGATCATCCCCTGGGATCATTCCCTGGGATCATTCCCTGGGATCATTCCCTGGGATCATTCCTGGGATCATCCCCTGGGATCATCCCCTGGGATCATTCCCTGGGATCATTCCCTGGGATCATCCCCTGGGATCATCCCCTGGGATCATTCCCTGGGATCATCCCCTGGGATCATCCCCTGGGATCATTCCTGGGATCATTCCTGGGATCATTCCTGGGATCATTCCTGGGATCATCCCCTGGGATCATTCCTGGGATCATCCCCGGGATCATTCCTGGGATCATCCCCTGGGATCATTCCTGGGATCATCCCCTGGGATCATTCCTGGGATCATTCCCTGGGATCATCCCCTGGGATCATCCCCTGGGATCATCCCCTGGGATCATTCCCTGGGATCATTCCTGGGATCATTCCCTGGGATTATCCCACAGGGTCGTGCCCTCCTCGTGCTGTCCTGGCTGACAACCGGACTTTTCCTGCTGTGTGTTGTTGCTGTGGATTTCATTTCATTGTCCTCCGCTGGTTTTTGGTTAATGGGATCCCTCGGGGTGTTTTTCCATAATAAACCGTGTTGGTCCCAGCCCGGCTCCCGCTGTTCTCACAAGGAGGGTTTGGCCAGGGTCTGAGCTCCCTGCCTGGGACCTCCCAGGTTTTATGGTGATGGGGTGGGCGTGACGAGAAGGAAAAAGGAGTTTTGGGGTTTAAGGGAATTCAGAAAATGCGATTAAAGCTCCAAGTTTGGGACTGGAGAACCTGTGGGAGAGGTGGGATTCCAGGGGTGGGATGTGCTGCGCTACAACCTCCTCCCTCTGCTTCGTGAGCGGCTTTTGTGGGGCACCTGGGCTCGTGATGAAGCCCTGGATAAAAATACAGCTTGGCAGGAGACTTTTGTCAACTTGATCTTCTCCCAGCCAACAGGTGGGAGGCAGCAAAAGCTCGGTGGAGGAGATTTATGGCTGCTGAAGGAGCCACACTGCAGCTCACAGCTCCTCCCTGCCACTGAGGGCAACAAATGGACTGAGGGGAAGCAACAAATTCTCCATCCATCACCAAATATAGCCAAGGAATGTCCGTAGGCCCCAGGGCAGCATCCCTGCCCTGGCTGTTCATTTAAGGGATGGATGGCCCTCAGCAGAGCCTTTCTGCTTTGCTGGAATTCCTTTTCCCCCATCCCATCCTAAATCCTGCTGTGTTCTTCCGCCAGATGCTTGGAGGGAGGAAAAAAAATAAATATAATAAAAATAAATCAAATTCCATCACAGATTCCAGCACCAACGGAAAGTGCAGGTGTGCCCAGCCAGGCCTGGGATGTCCCCGAGCCCTCGAGTGTGACCCTGAGATGAGGGAGGGACAGGGGGAGCTCTGTGCAGGTGGATTTGGGATGGCTGGCTGCAAAGCCTGAGGTTTGGATTCTGCTGCCTGTTTTCCCAAGGTTGGTTTTTTTTTCCCCTTCATCAGGCACGGCAGGGCTTTGCAGGGAGCGTGCTTTGAAATAAAGCCCGTGGAGGAGGAGGAGGCGGAGGCGGAGGCAGAGCTGGTGGGAATTATGCTGCCACTCAGCAATTGTCAGCACAGATGTTCCCGAGGTAATCACGGCCCTGAATAGCAGGAGCTGCTTTTCATGGCAAATCCAGGATTTAACCCCCAAGAACTTGTGGGGTGTCTCGAGAGAGGGGGACACCCCTGGTGAGCATGGCAGGGAGCTTGGGCAGAGCATGGACTCTGCTCTCCCGGTCCTTGGTGTGCACCGGGGGAGTTGTGCCACCTCCCTGCCTCAGTTTCCCCATCACCCTGACAGATCAGAGTGAATCACGGAATCCCAGACTGGTTTGGGTTGGAAGGGACCTGAAAGTTCATCCAGTGCCACCCCAGCCATGGGCAGGGACACCTCCCACTGTCCCAGGCTGCTCCAAGCCCCGTCCCACCTGGCCTTGGACACTTCCTAGGATGGTGAATCCAAAACTGATGAATGCTCCGGAGGGAATGGAGGATGATTCCAGCTCCTCAGGGAGGGAAAGCAGAAACCCAGGAGTGCTCTGAAGTGCAGTGAAACCCCTGCAGACCCTGGGGTGGGGAGGGGACACACAAATCCAGGTCTGTCCTGCGGCCCAGGTGGGAACTCCTCTGCATCACCTTTACTTCTGCATCCTCCCTGAAGGGCAGAACAAGCACAAACAATCCTGAGCAGCAACCTGCAGCCATCCCAGGGGGATAAAATGTCAGGGCAGGGCGCTGGTGACAGGGTGACAGAAACACCCGGGGCTGGAAGGACAGATAAGGGGACCTGGCGGCAGGAGAACAAGCAAAGGGCACTCGCTATCAGCGCCGCCGGGGCTGTGCCAGGATTTCAGCGGCCCGACCATCCCGTCCCTTCCACACCGCTATTTTTAACCGTGGTTGCTGACACCTCTGTCACCAGCGCCTAAAATGGTCCCCCCCGAGCTCAGCCAGGGCCACCCCGCGCCGCCGAGGCCACCAACGAAGCCGTGACTCAACGGGGCGTGTGTGGAGCTGCTGGCCAAGAGGCGGCTCCGTGCTGGGCCAGCTCCTCGGGAGATGCTCCAGAAGGTTCCTGGTCAGGGCCAGGAGGGCTCGGTGGGGCTCGTGCAGCTGCCTTCCACCTGGGAATCGTCCAGCCCTGGCTGGGAATCACTGCTGACCCCATGGATGTCACTGGGAATC